CAAATGACTCACTTCAGATCAAAAGACCCACACAGACTGAAAATAAACAGACAGAAAAAGAGATTTCACAAAAATGGAAACAACAACAAAAATGCTGGGGTGGCAATACTTACACCAGACAAAATAGACTTTAGAACAAAGGCTATAACAAGAGACAAAGAAGGACCCAGCAATTCCAATTCTAAATATTTACCCAAGAAACCCAAAACACTAAATCAGAAGACATATACATCCATATGTTCATTGCAGCATTATTTACAATAACCAAGACATGGGATCAACCTAAGTGTCCATCAATAGATGAAGGGATAAAGAAGTGGAATATGACTCAGCCATAAAAAAGAATGAAATCTTGCCATCTGCAACAACATGGATGGATCTAGAAGGTATTGTGCTGAGTGGAATAATTTAGAGAAAGATGAATGCAAGATGATTTTACTTTTATGTGGAAACTAAAAAACAAAATAAACAAGCGGAACTGAAACAGAACATTTCGATCGTTGCCAGATGGGAGGGATTGGGGGGATAGGTGAAAAAGGTGAAGGGATTTAGAAGTACAAATAGATAGTTACAAAATAGTCACTGGGATGAAAAGTACAGCATAAGGAATATTGTCAATAATATTGTAATAACTAGGTATGTTATGGAATATGGAATTGGTATGGAAGAGACAGTTGGACACTCTGAGGTTTCAGGAAAAGCCTTTATTCAAAGCAGCGCTGCTGGTTCAGGGGACTCTTAAGATCCAGATCCTGAACAACTTAGACAATGAGATTTTCTTTTAATATGTCTGAGTTTCTTTGTTTCCTAACTACCAGGCTTCTGTAGTGGACTCTCACAGCCCCCCTCAAGTCAGTTAGAATGGTTAACTTAGATTGTATCTAATGTCCATCCTGGATGGCGCCAGTGACCTCCCACTAGTTAAGCTGTTGGTGTCAGATGGGTACTAGATTTATCAGGTTGATCACTTCGCAAGTTATATAAATGCCTAATCATGGGGTTGTACACCTGAAACTAATATAATATTGTATGTCAACTGTAATTTAAAAATAAAAAAATATTTTAAAAAGATATTTTTTTCTAGTTATTAGCCATGCACTTTAAGAATTGAAATATATCTGTATTTCTCAGTTTGTTTGTTATAATTTTATTTTCTTATTTTCCTTAGGATATTAGCTGCAATGAGATTCAGGTTCTTCCCCAACAAATGGGAAAATTACATTCACTTAGAGAGCTCAATATAAGAAGAAATAATCTTCATGCCTTGCCAGATGGTAAGATGCTCACTGTTTTTACTGACATGAATAAAAGAGCAACTATGGAAAACTTAATTTAATTCTTTTTCATTTCTGAACAGAATTAGGAGATCTTCCCTTAGTCAAGCTGGATTTCTCTTGTAATAAAGTGACCGAGATTCCAGTTTGTTACAGGAAGCTGCATAATTTACAAGTAATAATTTTGGATAACAATCCATTGCAAGTACCACCAGCGCAGGTTTGTAATAAAAATCTATTACTTGTTTCTTCTCTTTTTATTCAGAATTATATCTGTTACTGGTAAATTGAAAAATCATCAGAAGTAAAAGTTAATTTGTTGTTGAGTTATTATTATCTAAGGGAGTTTTTCTGAGAAGTGGCTTTTTTACTTTGGTAGGAGTTTTATCTTAACTTCTGGAAAATAGGATTTGAAAACCCAGCCATAAACATTTTGCTTGTGAACTGATAATTCTGATTGTTAATGTTATTTCAAAAGGATAGACTGTGCAGTCTTTCTACATCTATCCCACTCAGCTGTATATCCACTTGAAACTTGTGTGAGTGATAGAAGCGTTTTCTTAGCACTGATAGATGGAATCATAACACAAAGAACACTATACAAGTGTAAAAGTATTAATTTAGATTTTTAGTTTGAGGATTAAATCCATGTGGAATCCACTAAAATTATATTAAAGGAATACACTAAGATATAAACCTACAAGGACAAAGAATGGAAGAGAGAGGACAGCAGGGGAGAGATGGCAACAGAATTTTGGAAAAAGGAAAATATATGGAATAGTGGTAGCTAGGGTCTCTAATTATTACTGCACAAGAGTATCTGCTGAGGAGGCACATGGCAGTGAAACTCCAGCCTGCCCTCTACTTTCAAGCCATGTGCCCTGGCACAGTGTTGCATACATCTAGAAGAAGGGTTGCCTTTTTCCTTCTACAAAGGTACATTCCACTCATTCCAAAGGAGGTGCCTTTTCTAATTCAGATCAAGTCTGACAGGAGTCCTGGTAGTAGCTGCCTGAGCATGATAAAGAAAGCTGAAACTTGTGTCTGCTATGGGAGAAGGCAACAGAAAATAAATTGATTTACTGTGTTAAACCTGGGGATGACTGGGATATTTTTGTTGTTGATTATTGAAGGAAACATGTAGCTCTGAATATGGGGATGAAAGACTGAAAACTTGAAAGTCTGTAGAATGTTTAAGGCACTGCTGTTCAGTAGAAGTTTCTGAATGAAGGTGTGGAATGGGGAAAAAGATTTTCCTTCTGTCCTTCTAAATTATTCTGTCTGTTCTAATAATCAAACTTACATGAGACAGATTAATGGGAGAAAATAGCCAAAATTATTATGAATGTACATATGTGCAGTAAGAATATGGGATTCCAGGACAAATCCTGCAGTTGAGGCTTATGTGCCCTCTTCCGGAGAGGGGGAGGGGGAGTAATTTGGACTTCAAAGGGAAGGTAGGCAATTCACAGGTAGATAAGAAGGAGCAAAGATTTGGTAAACAAATTCTTTCCAGGCTGCCCAGACACAGAGTGGGTCCAACAAACAAATTTTGCAGGTTCCTTTCTGCCAAATTTAGTTCATGTTATGCTAAGGTGATCTCCCTTTCTGGAGCAGATTTTTCTATCTGATTTTTTTTTAACAGGTAAGGAGGAGGTAAAAGGCTCTTTTAGAGTCTTTTGTCTCTTAAAATTACACTATCCCCCAAAGTGGAATTTTGTTTCTTAAAACAATCAATATCCCCCAAAGTGGTATTTTGAGGCAGCAAACTCTGCTCCCCTCAGTGGGAATGTTTTATAAACTGTGCTGTCCATACCATAGTCACTTGCCACATATGGCTACTGAGTACATGAAATATGTACTGGTTGAAGGAACCAAAATTTTAATTGAATTTTATATTATTTTAAATCTTTTTAAACTGATTCAAAATGGATCATGAGCTTTAAACTTTTTTTGATTGATTTGAGAGAGAGAGAGAGAGAGAGAGAGAGAAGCCAATTTGTTGTTCCACTGATTTATGCGTTCATTGATTCATTGGTTTCTTCTTGTATGTGTCCTGAACGGAGATCCGACAATTGAATTTTATTTTGATTAATTGAAATTTAAATAATTTCATGTGATTAGTGGCTACCATTGGACACTACGGGTCTAAGATTTACACTGTCAGATTATTGCCTCTAGCTCCAAAGCCACATGACCCCCCATTTGCATTAGCAGAAGCCTAGGGTTTACTCTGAGGAGTAGGTAGATTTCTCTCAGATTCCCTCCCTCAGCTCAGCAGCCAAATGACTATAGCTTCTTGTGTTAGCATAAGCCTGGAATTTACTCTTTAGAGCAGTGCTGTCTATTAGAACTTTTTGTGCTGATGGAAATGTTCTCTATCTGCATTGTCCAATGTAGTAACCGCAAGTGGCTGTTGAGCACTTGAAAGTGTATAATGTGACTGAAAATTTGAACTTTTAGTTTTGTTTAGATGTAATTAATTCAAATAGCCACATGAGGCTAATGGCTGCTGTATTGGATAGCACTACTGTAGGGAGACCGGAAACCAGAGTCAAGGACTTCAAGTATAGCTATGGGCAGAAGTGAGACCTTTTACTGAAAACGATGAATGCTTACGTAGTGAGTGGTGGGACCTTCCAGTAGACTGTCTTACATGGCTCTCAGAATGCTTTCAGCCTGTCTTATTTATTTCAGGCAGGGTGGCTGGATTTCTCTCTTGGTTGATTGATTGAACTAGGAGAATATACTGATCTTTGAGGGGGTCTCCTGATGAAATGGCCAGTCCCTGTCTGGTCACTAGACAGTGAGGCTCACCATTGGTAAACTTCCCCCTCATACACAGAGATTCCAGTTGACTTCTTAATTGCTTCACTCTTGAAGATAAACAGATAGCCACAGATCACTAGACATTTGCAGGAATAATGTCTAGCATGAAAGACAGAGACCAAAACACTGAAAGCCTTCTATTGAAACAAAATGGGTCTCATTCATAGGAGTGACAATCAGAATGACTCCTCAGTAGCAGCATAGGAAGCTAGAAGATGTTAGAACCACATCTTCAATGACTATGGGAATATTTACATCTTTCTGTACTCAAACTGTCAGTCAGGTATGAGGTAGAAAAAAGATAGCTTCAAACATACAAGGTCTCAGAGATTTTAACTTTCATGTAGCCTTTATTAGAAAGCCAGCAGAGTTTGTGCTGTATCAAAATGTGGGAGTAAATTAAGCAAGAAAAATCCTTCATGTTCAAGATCGATAGATTTGCAATAGGCCTAGAGAGCAACCAGTCAGTTTGGAGTAGGGTGGTTGTCTCCAAAAAGAAAAAGAAATAAATTGATAAATGACTTGATGTGTTTGTCAGTATGGAGAGGGTTTTACAGTTTTGTCATAGAGTTAGGAATTAATTAGTAATAGTCATACAGAAAATTATGCAAAGGCAAATGAAGTAATTAGTCACTTTAGACAAAACAAAAACTTGCAGGAGAAAGAAAATGTACTCTAACTTATGTGGTTCATCTGTGAATACTTTCTTACTCATAATAGTGTAAATATTCTATTTTGATTTAATGAAAAAAATCTGTATTATAATAATAGTAAATATTTATATAGCACTTACTGTGCTCCAGACATTGTTTAAAATGCTTTATATGCATTAATTCATTTTTATCACATTAATTCATTTTTTATAAACAGGTACTGTCATTATATCTCATTTTATATATGAGGAGACAAGGGCATAGAAGTTAAGTGACCTGCCTAAAGTCACATGCTAGCAAGTGATAAATAAAGCCCAGTTTCAAACCAAGGCTATCTGACTCCAAAGTTTGTGCTTAACCACTATGCATACTTCTGAAGAGGGAGGAAATATGTTTATGTGAGTTTATGGTTATTGGAGATGGGAGGATGGTAGTAGTGGTATTGATATATGAAAGTGGTGGTAGTTATAAAGTAAATCTAAATTCTCTTTTTCCTTAGTAAGACTTCAACAAATAGAATCTATACTTGAAAAATAAAAATAAGATAGCAATAAAACCATGTTATTTATAAATATGAAGGTAAATAGCAGAAAACCAAATAAAAGAGTTCAATGAGGGACTGGGTCTTGGTGATTGGAGGGGATGGAATGGAGAATTACTTTTTTAAAATATGTTTTTATGTATTTTAAAGAGGGAGGGTGATTAAGAGAGAGAAAAAAAATCAATGTGAGAGAGAAACATCGATCCGTTGCCTCCTGTACACACCCTGACCCGGGATCGAACCTGCAACCTGGACATGTTCCCTGACTGGGAATTGAACTGGTGACCTTTTGGTACATGGGACAGCACTCAACCAATTGAGCCACACTGGTCAGGGCTAGAATTAATATTTTGTTATCAGTTTTATAATTCTCTGTGACTTTTAAAACTATGTACATGAATTACTATTATAAAAATTGAATTTATAAAAGAAAATAATTGATCTTAATTTAATTTGGTAATACAATAATTTTTTTTGGTTTGGACAGATAATAGGATACATCTTAATTGGTAATGTGTTCAAATCTAATAGCTCAAATGTTTTAATTTTTGTTTTCAATGAAATTTTTCAGTGGTCAAGTCAGACCTGGTAACTATGAGATTTATCTAAGAAACGGTTCTCCTTTATACCTGGAATGATAATTACTTCTTAATGTACTTTTCTTACTATTTGTTGATTATTTTTGTATGTGTTGGTAGGTTACGTGAGCTCATAAAACAATACTTTTATTACAATTTTTGAGAGATACTTATTTGATATAACTCATGGAGACTGCAGCTAATCTTTGTAAATTTGACTTATCACTTCCTTACCACTCATTATCTATCCTTTTATATAGCATACTTTCTTTCACATAGTATTTCACCCTTCATTATTCTTTTTCTAGCAGCAATGAAAATAACATTTCAGGATATTATCTTAGTTGAATTGACCATTTACATATTATTTTATTCTAATTGGCCTACTCTCACACCTTTGAACAAAATCATTTTTTTTTCCTATATTTAAATTCTTTTTATTAGCTTTCCTCCAGTGTTTACCCAACCAACTTAGTGGGTCTGATGAGATTACTAAAGAATTACATGAATTTTGTTTTCTGTTCTCACCACTACAATAAATATATTTCTTTTTGCTTTTTTCTCATAAAGGCAACTCTTATAAATTGTAAATTTTATATTGTGTACTGGTTTGTACATTGTACTGTTAACAAAAAAACTTTAGTGAAATACAGAATAATTAACTTAGTTTTTCTAATAAGAACAGAGACAGCAATAGAATTTTAGTTGGTATCAGTGTTGTCAGTTTTTTTTCACCTAATGTCAGAAGTACAAATTAATTAAGTATGCAGTGTATCTATCATGATCGTGATGTCTCAACATAATTTGAGGTTATTAAAATATATAAGTAAATTGGTAGATAGCATATATTTTGGATCTATATAATTAAACCTTTCTCCATTATTTATTGACAGATATGTCTAAAGGGTAAAGTTCACATATTTAAATACTTAAGTATCCAAGCATGTTGCAGAATGGATAAGAAACCAGATTCTCTGGATCTTCCATCACTGAGTAAAAGAATGCCCTCCCAGCCTCTCACAGACAGGTAATGTAATATTCTTACAGTCTTGTTTCATGATTAGTATATTCTCTTTATGTAAAAGATATTTATTTATCTTGAGTGTACTGAATATGTTTAGGCTGATTGTCTCAGTGTTAAATTCAATAATTGTTTGAAGTGAAATATTACCATCATAGAATGAACTTCTGGATACTAGAATCAACTTTGAATTTTCTCAAAAAATTAATTATTATTAAAATTTTAGTAGTAAAATGTAAACATTTAACATCATAGTGCAGAAATACTAATTTCTCAGTACTTGACTATTACTCTTATGATCATTCTATTGTACATTTGTAATAACTAGTAGAATTTGACTTTGACCTGAATTTGGCAGAAGAGCAAGTCATTTTTGAGTGCTTCCTTACTTTATATTTTTTTATCTAGATCAAAGATGATTTATCATCGATGTTCTGTATGATATCGATGTTTTTATCCTCATGAGATTTTGAAATGATAGATTTGATATTGTTTTTAATTTATCTTTTTAGGATGTAGATTGGTGTAATTATATGAAAACAATTCCATCCAACAGGATGGAAAATAATTGGGATGGGGTGAAACTATATTTAAAGGTTTGACATTGTATTTATGACAAAGTTTAGACTACTTGGAATAGCAATATAATAAATACTGTTGTTAATAGTGCAACTTCTGGAATTCCCAAATAGGTCTTTTTCTTGAATTTTTTATGCTGCCTAAGTAGAATTAAGTATCCAAACATTAAATTTAGTTCCTAAAGATTCTTTTGTTTAATGTTATGAGTGATAGTAAACCAAACGATTCTATAAAAAATTAGACTTAATTCATATTCTACTCTCTATTAGTCTGTTTTACATTTATTTAAAAATGAATTTACTTTAGTAACAGCATTATTATATCAGTTATTTATTCTACAAATATTGGTAGCATGCCTACTGGTTCAGGGTATGTTTTGTTGAATGATATACATATTGGTCTCTGCCTTCATGTAGCTCACAGTCTAATGGAAGAGTCAGTTAATAAACAAAGCAAGGGAACACAATACACATAATTTCAAATTTCCTTGCTATAAAGGGAAGGAACATGTTTTAGGAGTAAGATAGGAAATGTCTCCTTGGTATGGTCTGGTTTAATTCAAGACCTGACGTGAGAAAAAGTAGTTGTGTAAAGAGCGAGGGGAAGAACATTTCAGGCAGAAATAATGACATGTGCAAAGGCCTCAAGTTAGGAAGAGGCTTGGTATGTTAAAAAAATAAATAGCCCTAGCCTGTTTGGTTCAGTGGTTGGAGCGTAAGCCCTTGGACTGAAGGATCCTCGGCCCCAATCCAGGGGCACAAATCCAGGTGTCTCTCACATCAATGTCTCTCTCTCTCTGTCTCTCCCACTCCCTTCCACTCTGTCTAAAAATCAATGGAAAAAAAATATCCTCAGGTGAGGATTAACAAAACAAAACAAAACAAAACAGAACAGTACAGAACAAAACAGAACAAAACAAACAAAAAACTAAATGAAGGCCAGCATGGTTGAAGCAGAGTGGCTAAAGGCTAGAATGGTATGTGTTGGTTTTGGTTAGTAAGGACTCAAGTCACGTGGGGGCTTTTGAGGCTGTGGTAAGGAGTTTGAATTGTATTTAAAGTAGAGTGGGAACTCATTGGACAGCAGGGGAATAACGTGATCTGATTTATGTTAAAAAAAAAACACCAAACAAACCTATCTTCGCTTATATAAGGAGAATAGATTGGAAGTAAACAAAAATAGAAGTAGAGGGACTAGTTAGGTTGTTGCAGTTCTTTCAACAGATCAAGGGGTCTTCAATAAGGTGATTGCAGTAGAGATGAAAAGGAGTGGATAGAATTGAGATATGTTTTGGAGATGGTCTCTAGCAGTGTCACCCAATAAAATGTGATGTGAGTGACATATGGAATTTTAAATTTTCTTGTAACCCATGTTAAAAAAAAGGTAAAAAAGAAGCAGATAAAATTAATTTTAGGAATACACATTATTTAACTCATATCAAAAATATTTCAACATCTAATTTAAATAGAAAAATTAGTGAGTTTATTTCACATTCTTTTTTTCCTATTAAATCTTTGAAATCTGGTGTGTATTTTATTTACATTTACAGCATGTCGCAGTTTGGACTAGCTACATTTAAAGTGCTCAGTAGCCATATACTCCTGGTGGCTGCTGTACTGGACAGTGCAGGTCAACAGCGTTTACTTCTGAGTTGGCTCTTGGGTGTCTAGCCTCCCACTCACAGCTTGTATTGAAGTACCTAGAAAAATTCTTGTATGTACATTTCACTTTCATAGTCATGTCCTTGCCTATATCGTTCTTACTACTTATAAAACCCTTCCATGTCTTGACTGGTTTGTAAATTGTTCACTCTACAAAGGTAGGCATTACAGTAGTTAAGTATGTCCACTTTTAGAGTCAGACATAATGTACCCGTAAAGCCCTTCTCTGACTCTTCAAAACTATGTTCTTATGTCATAATGTCTCTGGTCCTCCATATTCTTTTTCTTTTGCTCCTTAGTTTTTTTATATGTAAATCAAAAATAATCATATGGATAATGTCAGGATTAAATGAAATAACGTCTATATAGCACTTAACACAATGCCTTACCCAAAATAATTCCTCAACAAATAGCTTATTATTATCATTATCATCTTTTAGAAATACACAGATGTATTTTAATAGTACATAGTATTATTGTAAAATAGTCAGATGAATTTCAGCTCTAATCACTGTTTAACCTCTTAATTCCTCTGTGGACTGTGTAAGGTATTTAATCTCTCTGAGCTTGTTTATTTAAAATGTTAATAATACCCATTTCCTAAGCTTATTGTGAGAATTAAATGTGTGCTTGGAAATTGGTAGTTACAAAATAGTTACGGAGGTGTAAAGTACAGCATAGTGAATATAGTCAGTAATATTGTAATATATATGTACGGTGCCAGGTGGGTACTGGAAATATTGGGGAGGCCATGTTGTAAAGTATATAATAATCTAACCACTATGCTGCATACCTGAAACTAGTACAAAATAATATCAAATGTAAATTATAATTGAAAAATAAAAATTTAAAAATAATGAAAATAATAGATGTTTAAAAATAATTTTGAAACCCACACTTGAAAGTACAGTGTAGGGCTCAATTTTTTTGTAAATCTGAAGTATTTAATAATAATAAAAATAATAATGCTAATAGTAATATAAAAAATAAATGTGTGCGCCCTAGCTGGTTTGGCTTAGTAGATAGAACGTCAACCTGTCGACCTGTGGATTGAAGGGTCCAGGGTTCTATTCCAGTCAGGGGCACATGCTTGGTTGCAGGCTCGATCCCCAGTAGGGGGCGTGCAGGAGGCAGCCAATCAGTTATTCTTTCTCATCATTGATGTTTCTATTTTTCTCTCTCTCCCTTCGTCTCTGAAATCAATAAAAAATAAAATAAAATAAATGTGTGCTTGGCAACTAGTTCAGTAAATGATATTCAGTAAATGTTATAATTTTTCCCCATGGAAAATTAACTTTTATAAGCTTTATTATCTTCATTTGTAAAAAGACATAGTGCATAAATTACAGAATGTAAGTATTAAAAGTAAAATATGAAGTACCTAACAGAGTGTAGATGCTCAACAAATATTAGCAATTATTGCGTCTTTTTATCCTTCAAGACTAAGCCCAGATGCCCTTTTCTTGGGTAAGGCCTTTCCTAACCTTACAAGGAGAATTAATTTCTCTTTTCTCACAGCACTTTATATTTACCTTTGTCATAGTCTTCAAGACATGTAAATATACTTATTTCACCTCTGGTCTGAGAGCCCTTTGAGGTAAAACATTTTTTAATTCATCTCGTCTCAAGCATTCAGCATAGTGCCTCATAGTTGGCAGTTACTTCCCTAAGTTTATTAATATACTCCAGAAAAGTATAAAGATCAGTTTTTTGGGGAGTAAATATAGCATAGTGATTCAGATCAGGGACTTCAGTGTTAATCTAGGGATCAAATTTAGACTGCCATTTGCAAGTTGCATGTCATTGGGTAAATTGTTCAACCCTTCCTCGGCTGTTTCCTCATCTGTAAAATGAGAAAACACCAACAATCTGCTAGAGTTTTTACAAGGAATATATGAGGTATTGTCTTTAAAGCACTTAGCCCAATTCCTGGCACATGCTAAGGTGTCCATAGGGTGTTTTGTAAATTTTCAAATTAAAGTGAAAAAATACTTCGCTACCTGGGTGGCATACTGTGTATTCAGAAATTTGCAAAGACAGCTCTGACCTCACACCAGAAAAATTGTTTATTCAATGCTTTGCAAACTTTGTTTTGTATTCTATTTTCTTGGTTATTCAATGGACGTTATTCATAAAGCTAAAGCATATTTTTAGAGCTAATGAAGAAGAAACTATGAATTGAAGTTTTAAAATATATCATCATTCTATGGTGAAATTTGTCAAACCAATGACAAAAACAGGAAGATATTGTATCAAGATGATTTTTTAGCAGGGCTATCTGCTTTTCTGAATCTCTCAGGAGAAATAAAGCGTACTATTAACAGTTGACACTTTATAACAGAGCGCATGAAGGAAAAATATTTCATGAGGGACATGAATGAAGTGTTTTGTTAGGAAGGTTCCTGACATTTTCCCCCTCATGTCCTTAAGGATCTCAGACATCAAAAGTGTATATTCTGTATTATATAGGAAAATTTTAGGTCAAGACTATATTATCTATTTAAGAAGAAAACCCTAACTGTTCTTAGAATTTCTATTTCTATAGTATGGAAGATTTTTATCCAAATAAAAATCCTGGCCCTGACTCTGGAATTGGAAGTGATAATGGAGAGAAACGGTTATCTGCAACAGAAGTGAGTGTTTTTTATTGCTGATCTATTTTATTTTAAAATTTTATTAGAGCTTTGAAATAGATACTTGCACATACTGACTTATTTTGCTTAAAAGTATAATCATTATTACATTATATGAAACCATACATGTACATTTTTAAACTCACAACAGTAAACCTTAACATACTAATTTTTGGTTTGAAAACTGGAAATGTAAAGCACATATTGAATACTTCATATGTTAATTTAAAGCAACTTAATTCTTAATCGTGTTTTAAAATGCCTCATTGGTACTTGGGCTTTATTTTTTTCAGCCATCAGATGACGACACAATCAGCCTTCACTCTCAAGTCTCAGAATCAAATAGAGAGCAGACATCAAGAAACGATAGTCACTCCGTTGGCAGTAAACCTGATTCTCAGAAAGGTAATCCATATGGTGTTCGCTCTATTTATTTTATGTACATAGCCCTTATAAAAAACGGACTTTGAAAAACAGTATCTTTGGCCAACTCTTTTATTGAGAAAACACACTTTTATTCTAAGCAGTGTCAGAATAAACTATCCATATTTTCTAATAAATATTATTTTATACTTAGACCAGGAGGTGTATGATTTTATTGATCACAACACAGAAGATGTAGCAGTTCCCGAACAAGGAGATGCACATATTGGATCCTTTGTCTCTTTCCTTAAGGTAAAGAAACAAATATTAATAACATGTTCTCCTTGATATCAGAAAAATGGACCATACAATTTAAAATGATAATTTTCTTTTATATAAGGGAAAAGAAAAAGGTCCTGAAAAATCTCAGAAAAATGAAGAATTAGGAGATGAGAAAAGGTAAGCGCACACAAATTCTCAAATTGAAATGTTACTTATAAATATTTAAAATATATTTAGATATTCTTACTTGGAAGAATATAATTTTTGTTGATTTACCAATTATACTAGTATTTAGGTAATTTGTGAATACTTTATTTGCTTGCATTCCTCAATTAAACTGAAAATTCTCGTAAACATTTAAATTGAGTGTCATTTATACATTGTTTTTCCCCTCAGAAGTATAATAATAATGTCTCCTATGATTATTACTGAGGAGGACTGTACCTTCACATACATTGCCCATTTAAGCTACTTCATAAGACTTTTAAATAGATGATATTGGGCCCTGGCTGGTTTGGCTCGGTGGATAGAGCGTCGGCCTGCGGACTGAAGGGTCCCAGGTTCGATTCCGGTCGGGGGGCATGTGCCTTGGTTGCGGGCATATCCCCAGTGGGGGATGTGCAGGAGGCAGCTGATCGATGTTTCTCTCTCGTCGATGTTTCTGGCTCTCTGTCCCTCTCCCTTCCTCTCTGTGGAAAATAATGGAATAAAAAAAAATAGATGATATTGGCATCATTTGATGAAGAAGGAAAGCGAGACCCAGGTTTTCAAATGTCTGCAACTCATGTGTCCTAACTCTCAGTCTCTTTCATTGAGAAAATATACTTTAAGGGTATTTTCATATTTTATTAAAATAAGTGTGCTTTGGATCTCTTCTATATCCTTTACCTTACAAAATGATGGAATATGACCTATGACATTTTTCCTTTTAAGTTCCTTCATCGAAGCAGAAAGGAAGGGAAGAGCATATTTTGAAAACCTACCACGTACCAGGATCTGTGCTATGTGCTTTCCCATGTATCTGATATAATGCTCACTAAATTCTGCACAGTAGATATTGTCCTCATTTTTACAGATGAGGAAGGTGAAGCTTGGAGATGGAAATTTCTTGCCTAGAACCACCTAGCTAGTATCCAGTAGAACCTAGTGTGTTAACTGAGCTCTCGCTGATCCTGAAGCTTTTCTCTTTTCTCTACATTGTGCTTCCTCTAAATGACTCATTGGTAGCTTTTTAAGCGGTCATTAATCATGCCTGGTACATCATAAGGAGATACATAGCTTTATCTTATATTCTTTATATTTAATTATTTTACTTTCTCACTTTATCTCAGAGGACAGTGGCCTAAACTTGAGAGTTATGACTGGAATGCAAGTTATGGTAAAGATAGAGTCTTAGTAGGATTTGATACTTTTTTGTTTTTAAATTAAATACTTCTGTTTGGAGAACAGTTTATTTTACAGTTTATTGGTTCTATTTGAATGATAAAAATTATATATTTTTTGGCACTTTTGCCAGACTTATTTGAACCCATTTTGCATTTCCTCTACTTAAACAGTTTGTGGAGAGATTTTTAAGATCAATATGAAAATTTCATGACATTTTATATTTACTGATAAAGACTGGCCAGATAGAACTCTGTAGTTCTTATTATACTCACAACTGGGGAGTATGCATTATTAAGTTACTATGGCCATTACACATTTCAGAAATTACAAAAAAGTAATACTACAGTTCACTTTGTTAGCCATTAATTATATTAATATAACCACTATGCTACATTTTCTGTTTAGTGAAAAGGATAGATATGCTTTTATATTCTTTAAATATTCCTTATTTTAATGTTTTAAATACACGGATGTTAAGATTTTAACTTTCACATGGTATTAAAAACTAAACATGACTTCTAATTCTGGAAGCAGGCATAAAATAAAAAGAGACTTTACTGGGGTGGTGGAACACACAATACAATATACAGATGATGTATTATAGAATTGTATACCTGAAACCTATATAATTTTATTAAACAATGTCACTCTAATAAATTCAATAAGTAACAACAATAATACAATAAATGAAAAAAAATCTTCTGTCTTTTTGGATAAACATGTTCGTGTCACCTTTTAGACTTGGAAAAGAACTTGCAGAGGAAGAAGATGATGATTTGAAGGAAGTAACTGATTTGAAGAAAGTAGCTGCTCAGTTATTGCATCAAGAGCAAAAGAACAGGTATATTTTAGTAATGCTATTTAAATTGGCAAATTTTGCAATCATTAAATCTGATTATTTAAAGATTATCAAATAAAGTATATGAAGTTTTCAGTAGATAATAGGGCCATTTTAAGAATTATTTGAAGGGATTAACTGCTAAAAGACAATAGGAAATACTTAGGAGAGAAATGTAAAGTTACATATATAATTAAGAGAATTATTCACATTGTCATTATATTTAATTATTGGTTAGGTATCTCTTTTTTATTCCTGTGTGCTAAATAATGATTTATTTGTTGATACTCGTTTTAGGTCACAGTAGCATTAGATATATTGTAAGCATTATTTCCCCATATATATGTCATAAATATGTAATATGCTTTTTATCAGATTCCAAGTTACTTGGGATATGTGTAAACTCCTTTGAAATGAATTTACTTACATAATGGGTGATTAAATCAGCATGATAATTTGAGGTTCAGAGATTCATATTGGTCAGTGAGCATTTGTCTCTCTGGTAGGCTGTTCCCAAATGCTTGTCTTTTGCTACGAGAAAGACATTGTGTGAATGAGTATAAAATCAGTGGAAGTCCTTTATTTTTTCCAATTACAATTTATTTTTTTAAAATTTTTATTAAGGTATTACAAATGTGTCTTTATCCCCCCATTATCCCCTCATCCCCCCAGTCTTGCCCTCACTCTCACCCCCTGTTGTCTACTTCCATCCCTTATGCTTGTATGCATGCATACAGGTCCTTGGGTTGATCTCTCACACCCTCCTCTACCTTCCCTCTGAGGTTTGAGCATCTGATCAATGCTTCTCTGTCTCTAGATCTGTTTTTCTTCATCGGTTTATATTGTTCATTATAATCCACAAATGAGTGAGATCATGTGATATTTCTCTTTCTCTGACATATTTCACTTAGCTTAATGCTCTCCAGCTTCATCCATGCTGTTGCAAATGGTAGGAGTTCGTTTCTTTTTACTGTGGCATAGTATTCCATTGCATAGATGTGTCAAAATTTTTTAATCCACTCATCTGCTGATGGGCACTTAAGCTGATTCCAAATCTTAGCTGTTGTAAATTGTGCTGCTATGAACATAGGGGTGCATATGTCCTTTCTAAATGGTGTTTCTGGTTTCTTGGGATATATTCCTAGAAGTGGGATCACTGGGTCAAATGGAAGTTCCGTTTTTAGTTTTATGAGGAAACTCCATACTGTTCTCCACAGTGGCTGCACCAATCTGCATTTCCACCAGCAGTGCACGAGGGTTCCTTTTTTTCTGCACCCTCGCCAGCATTTGTCATTTGTTGATTTGTTGATTATAGCCATTCTGAAAGGTGTGAGATGATACCTCATTGTCGTTTTGATTTGCATCTCTCAGATGATTAGTGACTTTGAGCATGTTTTCATATGTCTCTTGGCCTTCCTTATGTCTTCTTTCAAAAAGTATCTATTTAGATCCGTTGCCCATTTTTTGATTGGGTTGTTTCTCTTCCTTTTTTAAGTTGCATGAATTCCCTATAAATGTTGGATATTAAACCCTTATCGGAGATATCATTGGCAAATATGTTCTCCCATGCAGTGGGTTTTCTTGTTGTTTTGTTGATGGTTTATTTTGCTGTGCAGACGCTTTTTGTTTTGATGTAGTCCCATTTGTTTATTTTCTCTTTAGTTTCCATTGCCCTAGGAGCTGTGTTGGTGAAGATACTGCTTTGGCATATATCTGAGATCTTGCTGCCTGTGGATTCCTCTAATATTTTTATGGTTTCCCATCTTACGTTTAAGTCCTTTATCCATTTTCAGTTTATTTTTGTGTATGGTGTAAGTTGGTGGTCTAGTTTCATTTTTTTGAAATGGTGTCTGACCAAATTTCCCAGCACCATTTATTGAAGAGACTGTCTTGACACCATTGTATGTTCTTGCCTCCTTTGTCAAATATTAATTGAGCATAGTGGTTTGGGTAGATTTCTGGGTTCTCTATTCTATTCCATTGGTCTATATATCTGTTCTTGTGCCAGTACCAGGCAGTTTTGAGAACAATGGCTTTGTAATACATCTTGATATCTAGTATTGAGATCCCTCCTACTTTGTTCTTCTTTCTCAGGATTGATACATCTATTCGGGTTTTTATTTATTTATTTATTCCAGATGAAGTTTTGGAGAGTTCTTTCTAGATCTTTATTATTTCCTTCCTTCTGGATACTGTGGGCTTTTCTTGTTGCTCTCTTTCTAATTATTTAAGTTGCAAGGTTAGATAATTTATTACCAGTTTTTCTTGTTTTTTGAGGAAGGCCTGTAGAGCTATGAACTTCCCTCTCAGGACTGCTTTCATTGTGTCCCATAGATTTTGGATTGTTGTGTTTTCATTGTCATTTGTTTCTAGGATGCTTTTTATTTCTTCTTTGATCTCTTTGGTAACCCAATCATTGTTTAATAGCATGCTATTTAGCCTCCAAGTGTTTGGTTTTTTTTCATTGTTTTTATTGTAGTTGATTTCTAGTTTTATGCCATTGGGATCTGAAAAGATGCTTGTTATGATTTCTGTTCTCTTGAATTTGAAGAGACTTTGCCTGTGTCCTAATATATGGTTTATCTTTGAAAATGTCCCATGTGCACTGGAGAAGAATGTATATTCTGTAGCTTTGGAGTGAAATATTCTGAAGATGTCAATTAAGTCCATCTGATCTAGTGAGTCATTTAGGATTGCTGTTTCTTTGCTGATTTTTTGTTTAGAGGATTTATCCAGTGGTGTCAGTGGGGTAGTAAAGTCCCCTACTATGACTGTCTTACTATTGATCTCTCCCTTGATATCTTCCAGAAATTGTTTTATGTATTTGGGTGCTCCTGTATTGGGTGCATATATGTTTACCAGAGTTATATGCTCTTTTTGAATTGCTCCCTTTAGTATTATGTAGTGACCTTCCTTATCTCTTGTTATGGCCTTTACTTTGCATTCTATGTTGTCAGATATAAGTATCGCAACCCCAGCTTTTTTCTCATTTCCATTTGCCTGAAAAAATTTTTTCCATCCTCTCACTCTCAGTCTGTGTGAATCCTTTGTTCTGAGGTGAGTCTCTTGCAGACAGCAAATATATGGGTCATGTTTTCTTATCCATTCAGCTACCCTGTGTGTTTTGATTGGTGCATACAATCCATTTACGTTTAATGTTATTATTGATAAGTACTTGTTTGTTGTCATTTTATTCTTAATGTTTCTGTTTCTTCTTGTCTTTCTGTTTCTTCTTTTTACGCAGTCCCTTTAGTATTTATTCCATTGCTGACTTGGTAGTAATAAACTCTCTTAGCCCTTTTTTGTCTGTGAAGCTCCTGATTCCACCTTCAATTTTGAATGATAGCCTTGCTGGGTATAGTATTTTTGGATTCAGTCCCTTGCTTTGCATCACTTTGTATATTTCATTTAATTCCCTTCTGGCCTGGTGTGTTTCTGTTGAAAAATCAGTTGATATTCTAATAGGAGCTCCCTTGTAAGTAACTCTCTGTCTCTGGCAGCCTATAAGATTCTTACTTTGTCTTTGGTGTTGGTCTTTTGGGGTTCATCTTGTTTGGGACTCAATATGCCTCTTGGACTTGCATAGTTTTTTTCTTTCCAATATCAGGGAAGTTTTTTGTCATTATTTCTTCAAACAGGTTTTCTATTCCTTGCTTCTTTTTCTCTCCTTCTGGTACCCCTATTATGCGAATGTTCTTTTGTTTTGTGTTGTCCCAAAGCTCCCTTAGGCTCTCCTCTTGCTTTTTAAATCTTCTTTCCAGTTGCTGCTGTGTTTCTGTGTTTTTTCCTACTTTGTTTTCTAATTCACTGATGTGGTCCTCAGCCTCTTGTAGTCTAGTGTTTAAGCCTTCCATTGTGCTCTTTATTGCAACTCTGTCATTCTTCATCTCCTCTTGGTTCCTTTTCCTGTTGGTGACATTCTCATTCAGCTCCTTATAATTCTTATTGAGTTGTGTATATTTGTCATTGAGTTGTGTGTTTTTGTCATCCAGCCGTTTGAGCATCCTTATAACCATTACTCTGAATTCTATCTCTTATATGTTGCTAGCCTCAGTTTCATTTAACTCCCTTTCTGGTGAATCTTCTTTTTCTTTCCTTTGGGGAATTGCTTTTTTGTCTTCCCATGTTTTGCTGTAATGTTTTAATCGTAGATCCAATTGCTCTGCTATCCAGGTTCTTTTGGGGACAGTGCTACTGGTGTGATCCCTCAGGTCTCCTGGGCTTGGTAATCTAGCGTAGCTCCCTACTTGAGCTATTTGGGTTCTCTTGATGTAGGCCTGTGAGCTGGAAATGCTCAACTGTTGTGCCTAGAAGTCAGCAGCAGCCGTGGAGGGGGGTGTCCCAATTTTTGCTGTCTTACGCCCTTGGTTGAAGTTGCGCATGCCCAGCGGGGACTCACAGTGGCACTGGAAAAGTGTGTAACTGTAGTGTCCTGAGTTCTGTAGCTGTGGGGTGGGAAGACTCAGTTTTTGCTGCTGCACTTGTGGATAGGTGCCCGCTCCCAGTGACGGCTTACAGGGGCACCAGCAGGTGTGTTTGCCAGTGTAGCGTACTGAAGCACTCTGAAGGGCCCTGGCACTGAAGCCACGTAATTGAGGTGTCTGTGGGCAGGTATCTAGGGTGAGTGAATTCAGAATTTCTATTGCGGGGGGGGGGGGGTGCGTCCCTGTTTGTCCAAGATCGCACCTAGCGGGGGCTTGCAGCGGCTCCCAGGAGCGCCTGTGGATAGATGGCCTCTGGGTGCCTTCTCATTGGAAATGCGCGACTGTGGCGGTGAGTTTGTCGGTGCAGAGCTCTGACACACTCTCATTTGTGTGGTGCATCTTTTTTATCCCTTTACTTTCAGTCTATGTGTATCTTTCGTTCTGAGGTGGGTCTCTTGTAGGCAGCATTTATATGTGTCAGCATATATATGTATCCATTTAGGTACCCTATGTCTTTTGATTAGAGCATTTAATCTGTTAACCTTTAAGTTGATTATTGATAGCTATATATTTATTGCC